TGCTTGTTGCATGTTGCATGTTGTATTTTGCTTGTTGCATGTTGCATGTTGTATTCTGCTTGTTGCATGTTGCATGTTGCTAGCTAAGTTTGAAATTTATTGTCGTCATGTGTAAATAATGTCAGCACAGAGGAAAATAGACCAGAAAAATCAGTGCAGAGACAGAGTTTGGTAAAAGTCCATATTGTGGTGATCTTTCGCTGATTAGATTCACATTACCCATAGTGCATTTCGGGCTTGGTATGCAACATACTGCAAAACCTACAACAACCGTTTTTTAATAGCTGTATAAGTTTGTATAAGAATGTTTATCATTTTCTCCCCCATATTTTCATCAATATTTTTCTTGTGTTATTATTAGCTTACCAAGGAACAGAGACGGAACCTAAGAGATGCTTACATCGCTTCTCCTGTACGAAAAGCCATCGAACTGAGGCAACTAAGCTTCTTGTCCTACAATTCTTATCACTTACCCATGTATGTCAAACAGGGAGTGGTGTGAAATATTCAACCAAGTATAATGTATTATAGATAAACTGTGTGTAAACTAACTAATGATAATAAAAGAATGGTTCTGAAGTATTCGGGCTGCAGTTGTTTTCTTTAGAGACGTTTATTACAGATTTACTCCACTCAGTTAAGGGAGTGTGTAATATTCAACTAGAGGAAGGTTCAGACGCCCGTACACCCTTCCTTTTATTCCTCAAACTTAGAAATACTTTAGGATTTTCGACAATAGACCAGTTTCGAATTCCAAGTTACCGCTGTGTTTCTTGATTACAGACTCATTTGCACAGAGTTAGCCTCGTACCAGTGTTTAAATATTCACAAATACCAACGGTAAAGTAAAGAATGCACAACTTCAACAATACAAACACTTTGAAGCTCGACGGACCTTGTTTGCAACACGTGAATATTCTGCACAAACTCGAGRCTAACCCTGTGCAAATGAGTCTGTAATCAAGAAACACAGCGGTAATTTGGAATTCGAAAAGGGTCTATTTGTTTTGATGGCAATTTTATCGCAAACTGAGCTGTTCTCCATCAGGGCACAGGGAAAGGGGTCAGTGAAAAATCCAAGTTCAAAATTTTGGACCTCAATTTAAGATTACTTGTTGGAAATTAAAGCGCTATTGAAAAAGGTCAAGAACATTTTGGGGTGAATATCACACCGGATAATCTGTTGCAAAAGGCTCGTGTTTGCTGCCGTTCCCTTATAAACTGTCTTTAGAGGGGAAAGGGAGGATTACTCCTCACCAAAGTCTTAAACATAACTTACGGCCGTAAATTAAAAATTGTCATCAGTTTTTTTCAAAATCTGGTATCCTTTCCAGATACATAGTTTGGAGTTACCATTCGAGACGAAAAAGCCTTAAAAGCCCTGTTATGGTTGTGAGGTGGTGTACATGTTGGGTCCTGGTTACTATCTCCACCTG